ATAATAATAATAATAATAATAGGACGCTTTTGGCGTGATTCAGCTGAAGGCAGCCTTTTCCAAATTACTGTGTTGATTTAAGGAAAAAATCGGAAAAAAACTCTTCTTTTAACAGCAGGTGTTTCCCGGGACTACTACGGAGGTCTTCTTGCAGGGATTTTGGTTTTATTTTGTCTTCTAAGCATCTGTACACGGAATACACTGTTCCAGCAGAGGTAACTTCACTTATTCAGCTGAGATGAGCACATATGAATTTGCGTAATGGACATTTCTTAGCTAATTTATCTCTGTGTTTCTGTAGGAATTGCAGTGGATCAAGTTCATTGCAGGCACATGTAAGCTAAATTAAACAATCAGCTTTGATTTGTTGCTGCTGTGAGCCACATTCACAGAAAGTCATCCTGTAACAAAGAAACAACTAATATGTCTTGTTGACAGCAAGAAATTGAACCACTGGATGTGGAAGAGCAGGAACTGGACATACAAGGTGAGGAACAGCAGGAAGTGGGCATGCAGGATGTGGAACAGCATGAAGTGGGCATGCAGAATGTGGAACAGCAGGAATTGGGCACTCAGGATGTGGAACAGCAGGAATTGGGCATTCAGGATGTGGAACAGCAGGAATTGGGCATTCAGGATGTGGAACAGAAGGAAATTGGCTTGCTGGATGTGGACATGCTGAAAGTGGAACAGCGGGGAGTGGACACGCAGGAAGTGGATGAAATGGATGTGGACATGCAAAAACGGAACAGTTGGTAGAGGAACAGCAGGAAGTAGGAATGCAGGATGTGGAACAACAGGAGGTATGACAGCAGAAATCACAAGTACAAACATTTATGGAAAGACACATTTACCTGAAGCTGGGACTGCATTGCCTTGACTGTGTGCTTCAGATTGTGGTCGAGTGGGAAGGTGAACCTGTGCTCTAACCTGAGGTCCTAGGAACTGTTGAGTAACTTCAACAATCACTCTGTACTTCTGCCCATTCATTTTTCCGTAAATGTTTCAGTAATGTTGCACGGTATACCGATACTGAAAAAGTTCCGTGCCCCGTCATTAAAAACAATACTACTATTTGTTTTATTAGTGTCAGTACTTTAAGAGTATTCCCTATGATTTGTGTCACTGTGCAACAGCAGGTCAGTGGCTCCACTTTCTCTCCCTCTCCCTGCAGGCACAGTGGGCGTGCCAAGCATTTTTTTCTGTCACCCTGCAGCTTTCACAGACAGGACAGTAGTGATGTGTGAAATTACACTTTTTTGGGACAGAATGTGTTTGATTCAGTTCACCTAAAAGATTCATTCTGATTTGTTCACCAACTCATTCAGTGGCTCTTTCCGTTTGTATAAAATAGATCTGAAACACTTGTGTTCCGATGTGTCAAAAAGTAACCTATCGTTTAGGCTAAATAGTGTTATGGAGTAAACTAAACACCCCCCATAAGTTATGTGAGAAAGATATTAGTTATTGAACTATATGGTCTTATGGCGTATGCGCAGAGTGCGTGTTCAGTGGCGCGCTGCTCTCTGGTAGCGGCAGCAATAGAACCAAATCAGTGAACGCTCTGCATTTGAGAGAGCAA